CCACAACCGTTCCTGCACATATCTGATGGCTATGATGTACCCTGCACCTACTTTGATTCGACTCTTTCAGATAGCCATGTGCTTCCACCAGAGGTAGAGGAGATTTTTAGACGTGTACAGGACAGTGCACATTATATGCCTGATTGGCAGATGGAGGTGGGTAGTTTCATCGTCACGAATAATGTCTTGGCTGAACTGTTTGTAGCAAGTGATGCAATCGTCACTTGGCCCTGACTGGGAAGCCAAGTTTATCTCCTTTGAACGTGTTCCCTTCGCTGCTGCTTCAATAGGACAAGTACACTCGGCTGTGCTTGCTTCCAGCTTCTCTCCGACTGGTAAGTGATAGTACATGCTAAAATGTAGCAAGCGTACTGATTCTCCGGCAGGGAGGGATGAACCAGTCGCTGTCAAGATCCAATTCCCGAATATCAGGGAGTCGATAGACAGTGATCTGGGGTATGTCAAAGTAAGCCCTTAGAAGATATCTTTTGGTTTGGTTGCTGATATATCTGTGCCTTCAGCTACTCATGACGGCAGGTCGGATTCTTCCCCGTGGTCTATTCCTGGACCGCACGCTGCAGGTGAGAACACCATTTTCCCATCTTTTTAGCATAGCTAGAATGATATGGTTATAGGTCATGAAAAACGAGCTTGCCGACGAATGCGCCTATACTCGCGAGGCGTCTTTCCTACAGCGCTTCCGCTCGTTCCTCGAAAATGACTCGCGCTTTCACGTCCCCTGGGTTTGGGAGGGCAGCACAGACAAGGTGCTTGTAATGGAGCGTGTCGCAGGCACAAGCGTCGGCGGTAACGTCATAGAAGGCCTATCGCAGAACGAACGAGACGTGGTATGCTATTTATTCAGGTGGACTCTTAGTGGTTGTGGCGCGTTACTCACAGCAATATTCGGTGACAGATCGCGGAGCGGATCATAGACCTGTGCTTGCGCGAGCTGTTCGTCTTCCGCATGATGCAGACCGATCCTAATTGGACGAACTTCCTCTGGAACGGGCAGACGCGCCAGGTACGTCTGCTGTCTTGTATGTTCGTGTGATGTTTAACTTGACTGTCTGGTATAGATTGAGCTCGTCGACTTTGGCGCGACGCGTGAATACTCCAAAGAATTCATCGACAACTGGCTGCACCTCCTTCAAGCCGCCGCGTCTGACGATAGACAGGCGTGCATCGACTGGAGTCGCGAGGTCGGATACCTCACCGGACAGGAGAACGAGGTATATTTCTTCACGGGTCAACTCTTGTACTGGCAGAGCTAACGCACAATGTAGGCTATGCTCGACGCACACGTCAAGAGTATGTGCCTGCTCGCGACGCCATTCAAAGCGAGCACGCTGCAGCCCTTCGCCTTCGGCCCCGGCTCGTCCTGGGCAGACATTACCGCAGATATTCGCGCGCAGATACCGGTCATGCTCCAACATAGGCTCACTCCGCCGCCGCGTGAGACGTATTCCTTGAACAGGTACGTCTCGAATTATGAATACACGGTAGTGTTGTGTGCACGTGTTGACGTGATATACTAACACCTTGTGCAGGAAACTGAGCGGCGCGTTTCTGCTTGCAGCACGGTTGAATGCGAAGGTGGATTGTCGGACATTGTGGGAAAGAGTCGTCTCGGGATACAAGTTCGGTCTCACAGAGTAATGGCCATGGTTCCATCGTGAAACAACAGTCTACCGCGAGAATGTGCCACATCCGGGAAGATGTCAACAGGCAGATCGTGTGAATGCCAAAAAGCAGTGACGATGTATACGACGTGAGATCTATCACTACAACCGAGAATCCTAGGATCACAACAACAAGAGGGAGGTGATTATGTACATTACGAGAATAAACCAGTGTAGGCGTTGAGGCCTCCGGTGCCCCAGCGCAGGCGTGAGTACCGTAAGATGAAAGTGGCTGTATACGTAGACTGATGAGAGTCTGGTAGAGAAGCAACGGTCGTGCATACATTTATGTATGCATTAACAGACTGAACAAGGATGTTAAGCCCTTGTATTTAGTCCTTTTTTGAGCTACCATTCGCGGCTTTCTTGGAGTAGATCATATCCGTGAACGGTCTGATGAACATGTTGAGTATAGTTTAATAGTTCACACCTGAACATTTGAGCACGTACCCCTCAAAGCGCAATGCGATGATATACACCACATAAACGTACGCAGTAATGAAGAGCCCCGCCGGCCGCTCATACCTACATCTCGGCTCTTCAGCATGGCTTTAAAGCGCGTACGAACAGAACAACTCACCACAGAGCACCAGCGGCGAAACACATCGTGCTCCCGACGTACATTGGGTCCCGTAGAACATTGAACGGGAAGCCCTCTACACGGTGGCTCATCAGGATGCCGAAATAGTCGCCAAGGAACGTGCCGGTGATGCCCAGCGCCCATGTTGAGGTGAGCACGAACGTCTGACCTGCGAGGAAAAGCACGGCGGGAATGAGCGTGTCGAATGGCGCAGGAAAGATCTCATGTTGTGGCTGGTCTTTCAGGGCGCGTTCATAGCTGTACAGGAGTGAGTCAATGTGTTTGAGCTACGTAAGATGAGACGCACAGCGTGTCGCGCAGGATGCCCGCGAAGAATATCATGACGGCGAGGAAGTAGCAGCCGTAGTACACATTTCCGCCAAAGATACGCGTTATGGTCTTATTCCTATATTCTGCGGGGAAAAGCTTAGTTGTACTACAGCTGGTTCAAGGGGGAAGCGTACCATTACGCGCCGTAATGTTCCACGCGAGTGGGTTAAAGGCAATGGCAGCGATCGATACCCACAGGGAGGGCTGTGACCAGTCAATGTAGGCGAGTAGTGAAGACATGATGGTGGTCGTGAGCAACCTCTGCGAGGGGTGCTGGAGAGGAAGAGAGGCCGCTGCCCTTCGCTTACGCGCGTAGAGTCCTCGCGTGATCTGACGGGACGCGGACATGTGAAAAATAGGAGGCCTCTTCGACGAACTCAAAAACAGTATCAATTTTCGACCGTGGTAGAGAACTTACTTAATTCAGGGGACGATGCAGATGATGGCAAACGGTACATGTAGGTTGAAGAGCTACAAATGATGTGATACACAAGCACAGAAAACAGCATAACATGACTACTGGGAAGGAGGGAGAAAAAGATCCGTATGTACATAGATAACAATGAATAACTCTGACTTATGATGCATGCAGACTAAACACAGTAGAAGTAGACGACAACTATATCAACCGAACCCGAGCCCAGGTCCATGCTCCTACAACCTCTTCAACGCCTTCTTGCGTTTCTCCGCGCCAGTCAGGCCACTCGCCGCGGTCCGCTTGACCGCCTTTGTCCCTGCTGCTGCTGTGTCCGCGGATGCCACGGGTGCAGCAACGTTCGAGTCTGCCACTCCCAGCGGCGCTGGAGACGTCAAACGCTCCTTCTCTGAGGCTTTCGTCGGGCCATTTTCATCCGTCTTAGCAGACACTGTTGAAGACGCGCTGTTCGACGAAGAGAGGCTTTTCCCAGACGATGACGATGTGAGGGTCGTCGTTGGTGTGCTCTTGGACGCAGACGCAGATACGGAGTTGTTGAACTCAGCAGGGCGGACCTAGTGATGATGAGTGTGCAAGAATCACAGGACCTGAATTCTTGACGCACCCGCGGTGTAGCGTGAACGCTCGTCATGAGCTTCGCGCGTGAACAATAGTCATCGTAGTTCTCCAGCAACAGCCGGCCTGCCTCTTCATCCAACGCGCTTTCTGGGTTGGGATAAATGAGCAAGCATTTGACCGTAACCAGGATGTGCCCAACGCCGTATTCCGACTTCCAGTCTTTCTTCAATGTGTTCACACAAATTTCGCCCGCAGGTCCGACGTTAGGGTGGAAAATCTTGGTAGCAAACCAGCCTGTATAGTGACTCATTAGCATTTACATAGGAGAAAGAACGGCTATAAGCACATTTTGGTGGAGCTGCAGGGAATTCTTCTGTGAAGCGGAACTTTACGCGGAAGTAACCACCTGCGTAAGGGGTGCCCTCTACGCGTCCTTTAGCTACGGTTTGTGGCAGAACAATGACACCAGATACGCACCTGGACCCTCTATGATTCCAGTCACGTCGAGCATGTTGTTTTCATTCGTTACGACGCGAATCCCTTCGGGGGGATTGGTCTGGAGCTCCGCGAGCTCTTTCATGAGACGGCGCATGACCATAGGCGTGACAGACTGCAGGTAATCGCGTCAGTATTAGTCAAAATTAGCCAATATACTACACACGGGTCTGCTTACCATTGTAAAGTGTGAAAGAGGGCGAGGATGAAGAGCTGTTAGGACGAGTAGAGCAGGTTCGAGTTTGAGTTGGTAAGAGAGGCGCTCGTCATTGTGGCTGGCTTCCGCGCGGAACCATGTTGGCCCGATTTGATCTCCGATCGCGGAGGTCATTTAATAAGGTTTGCGAGGATGCACCATCGCCTCCTCCCCTCGACAAAACATATCCAGGTTCTAAATAGGCTTAAATTGAAGAACTGGATAACTTACGGTATCCGCATGAGCACTTTATGTACACTGATCAATTCCATCTCTTAGTTGACGGAGTCATTTGCGTTGCTTCGCCACCCAGAAACCGGAAAGTGATGTCGCAACATACGTTTTCCCTCCGAGTGCAAACACGCACTTGGTCATGAAATAAACACGACGTTTAGCTGCAATGCGTGTCGTTTTGATTGTCTTCGGGTGTTGAATACACCCTCAGAACGTCTACCGCTTGATTGCCCTCCTGTCACTTGTGGCCTTAAAAATATGGCTCTTTTCCGAAGCCCGACATGGCAACCACAACATCTTGTGACTCAATCTGTGAGACGTTCAATGCGTCACAGCAGGTGCCAGACGATGTATGTAACCGCGACTAAAGCTACAATAACGTATCTCAAGGCGCTTGTTAGAAAGACGAGCAAAAGATAGTGATCTCGAGTCACAAATCGACGCGAAACGTCTCAGAAATCATCTGGAAGATCTAAAGTGCTAAAAATTCTCCGATACGGGGAATCGAACCCCGAGCTACCGCGGCCTTCGTAGTGAAAGGCGGTAATGTTAGCCGTTACACCATATCGGATTAGAAACCCACTGGGGTCTCAAGGTCTCAAGTCCCATCGCGGATTCTGGATGTTCATTTGGCGCAAGACCTCATTGAACTGAAGCCGAATGTGTTGTGTAAACTAATGCTCAGACTTTCGCATTTGCGTACAGTTCACTGCAATGGCGCTAACGCAGACATGCCGGTACGGGCCGCCGGACGTGCGCTGTAGAATTTATACCGTCCTACAGCCCTTACATCCATAGAGTATTTAGTCGTCAATCTCGACTAGTTATATGCCAGCCAAGCCGAGAAAGGATGTATTTGACGTTCAAGAGGGAAAGGTACACGCAAATGACGTATATCAGTTCCTCTGTGTAGTATTTAATACTGTGGTACAGACGTTGAAACTAGGACGATTCGACATTGAAGAGAAGGAGATACACGCATGCCGTGTATGAGTCCCCCTAAACAACACCGCCATGAGGCATAGAGTGCAAGAAATTCGGAAAGTATCTCTTGTGTGATGACCGCCGACCGTCGACCCTGTGAGCAAATCAGAACGATTATCTAAAGAGAGCCACGACGCTTACATATCAATATTTAACAGCGAGATACGATGCGCTCGCAGTATACAGAGATGTATCGTCCCATGCGTCCAGGTGCCACTCCATGTTCGTCGGCATGATATTGTCCACCTTGAGCCTAAGACGCTGTCCGCCGGAATTACCCATGTCCACCATGTTCAATCCCGCGAACACCTGCGGGCGCGCAGAAAATGTGGTATCGAACGACACGGTGCCAGCGTTATCGCAACGCGGAGGGTTAAAGCTCCTAATATCACTGGTGCTGAACGATCCGCTGCACATGTCCTTCCTTCCCTTAGAATGCGCCGCCCAGAACACACTGGCGGAGAAGAGAGTTGTGTCGTCCCAAGAATCGATGTGGACTTCGAAGCCGGAGGTTGTGACGTCAGAAACATACGCCCTGACACGGCAGTTGTGGGAGTGGTCTACGTCCAGGGCGTCGAGCCAAACAACAACGCTCGGGACGTTCTGATACTGGCGCGAGAAGGATATGTGTTTGTGAGTAGTCGGCTGGGGCTTAGTGGGAGGATGATCCGCTTCGGTAGAGAAGTGGCCGAATTGAAAGTCGCCTTCATTTGCGCAGGTTACGAGCCAGGAGCAGCCACTCGCATACTGAATGGTGTCCGACCAGGATGCCAAATTTACGGTCATCTTATCCGAGTGGACTTCCTCAATAGAGGATCGGATACGTATATTCTTGCCCTTGTTGAAGTCCAGGTAGTTGAGGCCGAGCAGAACGAACGGCGGCTCCTGGAACGGGCGATCAAACATGATAGTGATGCGATTATCGAGAGCAGGCCTCTGCCAGTCACGGATCGCCATAGTGTTGACGATCCCGACGCAGAACTTGTCTTTCTGGAGGGGGAATGGGTACTTCTCGCGAATGAAGGCCTTATCTTTCTCCGAAAGATGGTTGCTCACGGGTGTTGACCAGCCATCTAGCGTCCACTCGGGAGGAATGGGGTACACCATGATGGACAGAGCATCGAGCTGCGTAGCCACGACGGTGTCAGCGGATGCAGGTCGAATGATCTGTTCGTAGACTTGGGTCCTCGACCAATTACTTTTCTTGGCATGCCACTCGTACACGGCGTCCTCGTTCCACTGAATGTGCGCGTTGGGCTGCTGATGCTCGTGGACGCAGCCTAGAGCGTGGCCGAACTCATGAAGAGTCACACGGCTGAACTCCTCATCGGGCGTCCCATCGTGGAACCATCCGAAATTCATCGTCGGGGTATCTTGGTCGAACTGGAGACAATCAGTTCCGATGTACGACCAGGATCCATCGTCCCATACGAAACCGACGCGGATTTCGGCGTCGCCATGTTCGACAAACTTGAAACGAATATTAGCGTATTCTGACCAGATGACGGCGTACTGCTTAATCTTATTGCGGACGAACTCGTCGCTGCCTTCAAGAAAGCGGACCTTGAGAGTGCGACCAGCGGCCCACATCTTGGTGACATCGAGCCCGATATACAAAGGCTTGCCTTTGGGTCCTACAAGACCCGATAGCTTTGGTGCATCCTCATTAGCCTTACTATGGTGCGTGTTCTTCGGGTTCTCCCGTGCGGCTGCGGTCCTCGCATCTTGAGCCTTTTCTTTAGGCAAGAGAGGTATGCAGCAGGCGTGCACGCTCATTGTGTATGATTCTGACGACAGTTCCATCATTAAATCAGTATATACATCGCGTTGAATGATATACGACTCACGATGGACGAGTGAACTCGTTTGTAGAGGACGACTGGCTTTCGTCGAGAGTTCTGAGCTCGAAAATGTACTGGGGGGCTCGGTAAGGCTGGGGTCGAGGATAAGAAGTCAGCGGAAGTACCTTCGGTGTGGTTTGTCGACAATGGCCCATTGCCTCGTCGAGCGAGCTTTTTTTAACCGCAGCGATGACGCTCAAGCAGGTGCCCTTAGTCGGACTCGGGATACTCTGGATGAGTAAATTCACTGAGAAAGGCCAGTATGTATCTCATTGACGAGCTCACCTGATCATTACGATTCCAGATTCAGGGCGAGGATGGAGTATTTGGGACATGCTTGGAGTCCGCAGGACGTCGGTTAACGGAGATAGCCCAGCATCCTGGAACTAGTCCCACTGACATAATACGTATTCCTTGAGGAGTCCTGCCAATGTGTAGCATTCATCAGCCACAGGGCCTTGAAGCTGTATGAAAGTAAAAAGAAACGAACAACACTTCATTTCTGATCAACTGTCACGGATGATGGGGCCTAGCAGATGGAACGTGTCAGCAACTAGTTATACTACGATGGTGCTTTTTTCCTGTCAGATTTCATACACCTAGCTCGGTTAAAAGTGAAGCTAGCAAAGACATCGCCTCTAGCGGGAGATATCTGGACTGTTCAGTGGTCGCATGGCAAGAACACTAAGCGAATGCTTGAGTCAGTAGAGTCCGCTACCACGTTGAAGCGCCTGTGCCACATTTCCTGACGCCTCGATCGTATTCTAGAAGCGATGTCTAACAACAACCTTCAAGTAAGCTTGCATGCTCGAAGGAATGGAGAGGAACAGTGTTGAGCAGGTCTGCCTTGCACTTCTGATGCGTGTGGATTTTCTAAAGGGAAACAGTCAACCAACACGAGCGCAGGTGGCCCTCTTGGTGCCACCCAACCGTCTACCGCTGCTCCGTTACGTACCAGGCACGACCCCATGCTCTACTCTCCCCGCTCATATGACCCATCTAAATCGCTTGAATCGATTGAAAAGCGGAACTATAACCACGGACATTGAGCTAGAGCCACCAACATCTCTGTATACCATCCGCAGGCGTTCTAAGCACGGATCTCGAATATATCCTTTACAAGTTTGGCCGTCTCGCGGTCGCCAGTATTCTGTATCATGGTTCAACGTCACAATGACATGCCAATTCGGGCATAAAAATACCTTCGTGAGCTCGTCGCTGATCTTGACACAGTTCTTGCCGTTCACTGCAGCGAGTTTGATGACCATGTTCAGCGCTTTGCTCTTCTGCGTGCCACGACTCAAGAGTTTCTTGAAGTCGTTAGTCAGCGACGTGCCAATTCCAAACGTGCCTATAAGCGCATTGATGAATATAGTACCAGTCTGCAAGCGGTGAGTAGACTGACACCTGAAGCCGATTTCAGAGCAGTGCTTTTGGAGTTTCAGGGCCTCTTCTACGTCAATGCCGTCCGAATAGATGATGGTCTTCGTTCGATAGTCGATGCCGAGCGATTCGTATATTTGTTTAGCGCGCGGAGCGAACAAATAAGGGTCACCCGAGTCTTGACGTAGTCCGACCCATCTTTCGGCGCGCGCCTTGTCCTTCACGAAGTCCTGTCAAACGCACCACCGCCCTTAGCTCACCGTCGTGTAGAAGGTGGGTCGATGGCGCTAACCTTGTAAAACGCTTCTGTGGAGAATGTGTCTGTAAGAGCGAGGTGGAGTGCGTCCGGATAGGTGACCTCCCAGAGGTCGAGGGCCATGCTATTAGCGTGTTGGTACCCTTTCAAAGCGCCGATCTGGTCCTACTCAGCAATGAGTGGCGTTTCAGAAACCGGAGCACGTACCCCCATGAACCATTCACTACGTCAACGATGAGATGACACAAATTAAGTGAAGGGATATTATACACACTGTGCGATCGTGCCGATGGGCATAAGATTATACTTCATGGCGAGGTAAACCTAGCAAGGGTTAGGGTTTAATTGCGTTCTTGGAGGGAGATAAGGGGAATAGACGTACATTGCTCGTTCCCATGAGCTTTCCGGGGCCCGATAGTTCTTTACTCGCTTTCAGGAGCCCTTCTACAACGATATCTTGCGTATGGAATGATCGTCGACGTCGCGTACCGAATTCGCTGTAGATGCAGCCCGCAGAGATATAGGTTTTACCCTTCTCATAGGCTTGTTCTAATTAAAGTACTTAAGTTTGTGAATAACATGATACAGATATGGCGTACTCACCTTTTTGGCCATCATAGGACCAATCCGTGTCCACAACCTTGAAGAATATCTCGCTCAAGGTTGCCATGAGTGGGACTTCCCACAAAATCGTTTCACGCCAGGGACCCGCGGCCTCGATCTCGATTCGTCCGAGATTTCGATCGTCTGGCTTCTCGTTGAATATCACCTTCACCTGCTCCGGCCGAAAACGGTATCGTGCAAGGTAATCAATGTAGTCTTGTGAAAAGTATGGGCAGCCTTTCGGTAACCATTTGCGCTCCTCTTCGGTCAGGGATAGCTCATCGAAGTCTATGAAAGGACTGTTAGTACGTACCCTAAGACGATATGAGCGCGACGCATACGCTTGATAGACTCCACGAAAAGATCAAAACATTCTCGAGTGAAGTAGACATCGGAGTCACGATGAGTAAATTTGTAGACAGCATCCACGTCTGGAAAATGCTGTAGAACCGCTTGCTGCATGGTAAACTAGGTTTGATAGCTACGTCAGTGACACAAGGAGTC